AAAAGGTCACATGAGCGCCAGAAGATTAGAGGTGTTACAAGAGAGTAACAAACATAAAAAAGAAGAAGGCCGGGAGATAAGGACGTTAGATGTTTGATAGGAAAGAAGGAGGAGAGATAAGGACGATAGATGTTTGTTGATAGGAAAGAAGGAGCACACCACACCAGAGCACCCCGCCAACCACCCACAGGTACATCGACACAACTATGGTGAAATAAACAACAAAACAATTACCCTCTTGAAAATGACAAGCACATACCTGGCAGCTCCTTTATAAATGACCAAACGATAAAATGTAAAGTAAATTATCATATGGTAAGTAAATGGTTAACTTTAACTGACACGATTTAAAATATCATCATCGATGATACTCATAGAATGTTGTAAAAGCTCTAATATCATTCATACGACTGGATAATCATTATGGTCTGACGCATTACAAAGAAAAATTGGGATTTGCTTTCATAGAAATTATGGGGGTATTCAGAAAAGTTGTTTTAAAAACACCAACAAAAAACCACACAAAATACCCCCCCAACAAACAATAAAGAAATCTGGAATTTTTGGAAATGTCGGGCAGGTTAGCCCTTGTCTGCAGCGACGGAACAGAGCCCTCAAATTTCATTCTGACCAACAAAATATCTTCGAAGTAGATCTACATTGGACGACGAAAAAAGGATAAAACACAGACCAAACTGGAAATTAACAAAACAAACAACAACTGACCATCAGGTATAATAATCATAATAATAATAATAATAATAATAATAATAATAATAATAATAATAATAATAATAAAAGAATAATATTGATAATATAATTGGTCGTTTTTAAGGACAAACGGGCTAACCCAGATTTCGGGGGTTCCCAGAAATCTTGACCTACACCAAAAGTGGGCATTGCCCTACCTATAGGAGAAGTTTGGATTCATTGGTGTGTATATTTGTTTGGTTATAGAGAAAACTCTCCTTGTCTTTTAAAAAAACTGAACAAGGGTCCAAGGACTTCCAACTTCAATTTTCTCAAAACAGCATTTTCCAGGATAGCCCCCTTGTGCTTAAAAGCGACCAATTAAAACAGATTGCTCGTCAACGCTTGACAATGACCAAAACATCTACAGGAGGAAAATATTTCTTGAGAAAATCAGAATAAGAAGCAAGTGTTTACGATGGCTTGTGGCTTCTGCTATGGCTAATGAGACCAATGCAGGCAAAGAAGTGTTTGCCACGTTGTGAGCATTGAAGAGCCACATTTCCACTCGAGGACGTACGCAGCTTGCCCATTTCTCCTGCACAAAACGTGAAGAAAAGACAAAACTTTGGTTTTGTTGATTCAAAGAAATTGAGATTCTTTGCAGTAATTAAAAAAAAAGAAGGTGAAAATATAAATAAAAATGTAGCTGTCTTTACGCCCCCATCAATACAATTTAGATCACTTAACCCTATCCGTACCCCCTGGGGTCTTTTTTTTTTAGCCCCGGGGTTGTATTCTTAAAATTTTAGAATACTTCTAGGGCGAAGATCTCTTTGAAACTTTCAGTATTTCTCAAAAAATCATTATGACAGACTGCTATGCAAAGCGTACGGATTGGATGAACGAGTAAATTTCCTCTTCAGAAGTGGTGGCACAGAGTTCTCCACATTGTATGGATACAATAGTAAAACACGACATACGGATAGGATTAAGAAGCGATCTTCCGCCTCTGCCCGCCTGGGGCCACCCTGGGCAGAGAGCTCGGCCACACAACATCCTAGCCATAAAACTGTCTCCCCACTCAGGAATTGGAACCCGGGTCTCATGCGTGTTACAGAAAAATGCTTAATCCCTACACACCACAGCTGTAGCTACTGATTTATTGAACTTTTACCAACTGGCCACACGTACACCAACTGGCCACACGTACACCAACTGGCCACACGTACACCAACTGGCCACACGT